CTGCTGCCAAGGTTTTGGTCTTGGTCCTCATTTCTTTTCCTCAGACTCTACTCAGAACCTTCTGCCCTGTCCTGGCTGCCTGTAGTCTTATTTCCTGCTCTCCATTCTTACACTGCTTATCAGAGAGATGTCTCGTAGGCCAAAAACTTTGAGAAACACTGCATATTACTTTCCTTTCAGACACTGGCATTGTTCACTGGGATGTTTAAAGCTCTGTAGAGGCCTCTGTGATTTAGCCTTTGCCCTTCTTTCCAGCTCATCTCCAGCCACTTCCTGCCCCAGATTCTTTCACCAGTCCCTGGAAGCTGGTGTTGCTTCCTGAGGGCACTCTCCTCGTTCTGCCTCCCTGCCTTTGCCTGTGCTGTCGGAAATGCTCTGGCAGACACCCATTTGTTTTCATATCTCGGTTCTGCCTGGTGTTGCTCAGGTAGCGTTAATTGCTTCTCTCTGTGCCCCACAACCCCACCTTCCCTTCTTCACCTCCATCCTGGCACTGACTGACCTGTATTCTAAGCATCCATACTGTAAGTTCCACGAAGGCAGACACATCTAGAGCCAAATTCAGCTGAACATAATAGCCACCAGCACAAACCACGTAATCAGTGGTAAAAGAACGTGGGGAAAGGGTGTGAGTTTTAACCAGTGCCATACTGGGCTGGGGTCTGGGCCAAGTAAGAACAGTAAGCAGGATGCTGGATGGGGCAACAGTCTTGTATCTAGGGTGATCAGACCCAAGCTTATGGCAGCTCTACGATGATGGTTTGTCCATTTATTCCTTGCAGGTTAGCTTTTAGAGGTATGTCTATATCTCGCCCAAATGCTGTGATTGGAAAGTGTCGGATGATTCGCCACTCAAGAGATAAGAAAAATGAACCCAATCCTCAGAGGTACGTTCTGTGTGCACTTATATTCCTTCTTCTCCCTTTAGGATGGGGCAGGGTGCAGGAATAAGGCTCTGGAGAGAGCTCTGTGCCTCGAGGGTATGGAACGGTTCAGTCCATGGGGTGTGGTGACAGGAACAATGAAGTACAAACATTTAATAGTTTTTTTCCTTAAGATTTTTGTTTTTACACCAATCACACTTGCCCTTTTTTTTTCTTGTAGATTTGACCGAATTGCACATACGAAGGAGACAATGCTCTCTGATGGTTTGAACTCACTCACTTACGAGGTGTTGGACGTACAGAGATACCCATTATATACCAAAATCACAGTGGACGTCGGGACACCGAGCTAGCATTTTGGTGCACTGATAAGAGACCTAAAAATGGCCAGGGACCTCAGCTGTGTCGCTGCCAATGTGCTGGGCTGGTCTCTCTCATTCTTACCAATCAGAGTGATAGGCCCCCTTCACTCATCACTCACATGCCTTTCCAGATGGCCAGGACAGAGTCGGGTATTTTGTCCCCAAATTGGCTCAGCATGTGACTTCTTAGCTCTACGAGGCGTTTGTAAGTGTAGAACCAGTCAGCCTTTGGGGGGCTCTCAGCACATCTACAGTGTCACCCTAAAGAATCAGAGCTGTATACAACCCCAAAATTGGTTCCCGTGGGACTCATTCCCAGCTATAAACTATTACTTTGTTGTGAAATAGGTAGGACTTTTGCTTTAAAATGTGTATTCATATTATTTTATGAAAAATTGGAGAGTGCTGCTGAAATTGTATTGATGTGATATTTTTTGGTTGTCATATTTTAACAAAACATACAGCTTAACTATTCTCATTTTACTCCCTCCTCTCTCTTCTTTTAGAGGTATGCAGCTGTCAACAATCACTGTGTGTGTCTTTTCTTAGCAAAAGAATTTTAAAACTTGAGCCTTGGACCTTTTGCCCTGTTAACTGGTGAATTCCAAGGCAACATTAGCCATCAGATCAAAAGCCTTGGGTGTTCTCACATTCAGTGGCCTTTCTCCACATTGATTTGTGAATGTAAAACTTTTTTAAAACAGCAATTTGAAGTATTTTAAAGAAAGACCAAATTGGATTTTGTTTATCATCTAGCTTGATTTTGTGTTGATCCAGATTTGCATAGCTGTTTAGTGTTAAGTCTTGACAATTTATTTTTCTGAGCATGCTATGTAAACTTGAATTTCCTATATATTTTTATTGTGGTGTTTTAAACGTGGGGAAGTGACAGAGCATTTTTTTTTTTAGGGGGAAAAATTATGTATGCTGTAGTGGCCATGAACAGGCCCTGATTTAGCTGGCAGGCCAGGTTTTGTGAAGAGCAAAATCATCTTCGGATCCTTCGATGAGAGCAAGGCCTCCTGGTCAGCTTTATCCTGCTGGAGCTCTACAGGGAGACTGAAGCCTTGGCCCACCAGTTAGGGCTTCCCTCCTCCTCACCCTTCCAGGCAGGCAGGGCAGAGGGAACCTCCACCTCCTTGGACTGACACCCCTCCCCCCACCTCCTGTCAGGGCCCTAGGCTGCCACCAGCTGAGGGGTTGTAAATGACAGCAATCAGGTTGTTTACTGGCCCTTTTCCTGGGGAGGTGGAGGGAACCTCAGTTATGGACCCCCGTGGAGTCTGGGGGCTGCCTCCCTCTGTAGGCTCTGCCCCACACTGCGTGGCTCACCTTGCAGGACCGGTTTTCCTTCCTCCCTCCCTCTTTTTATTCCTTTGCCTCCTACCTGTTCCCTAAAACTTGCCTGTGGCACTCAGGGTCAAACAGACTATTCATTTCCAGCGTGAATGTGCCTTTTAATTAGAGATCTAGAACGAAATTCAGCTGAACCCACCCACACTCCCTCACGACCACTCTGGTGCCTAAAGCTTCCCCTGCCTTCTCAAGTCTTTAGCAGGTGCCTTCTACTCTAGGGAGGCTGACTTTATTTTTTGTTTATCCCGATTTTCATAGCTGTTTTGTGTTTAATCTTTACAAATTTTTTTTTTGAGCATGCTATGTAAAATTTAAATTTCCATATATTTTTTTTTTGGGGTTTTTAAACGTGGGGAAGTGACAGAGCATTTTTTTTTTTAGGGGGAAAAATTATGTATGCTGTAGTGGCCATGAACAGGCCCTGATTTAGCTGGCAGGCCAGGTTTTGTGAAGAGCAAAATCATCTTCGGATCCTTCGATGAGAGCAAGGCCTCCTGGTCAGCTTTATCCTGCTGGAGCTCTACAGGGAGACTGAAGCCTTGGCCCACCAGTTAGGGCTTCCCTCCTCCTCACCCTTCCAGGCAGGCAGGGCAGAGGGAACCTCCACCTCCTTGGACTGACACCCCTCCCCCCACCTCCTGTCAGGGCCCTAGGCTGCCACCAGCTGAGGGGTTGTAAATGACAGCAATCAGGTTGTTTACTGGCCCTTTTCCTGGGGAGGTGGAGGGAACCTCAGTTATGGACCCCCGTGGAGTCTGGGGGCTGCCTCCCTCTGTAGGCTCTGCCCCACACTGCGTGGCTCACCTTGCAGGACCGGTTTTCCTTCCTCCCTCCCTCTTTTTATTCCTTTGCCTCCTACCTGTTCCCTAAAACTTGCCTGTGGCACTCAGGGTCAAACAGACTATTCATTTCCAGCGTGAATGTGCCTTTTAATTAGAGATCTAGAACGAAATTCAGCTGAACCCACCCACACTCCCTCACGACCACTCTGGTGCCTAAAGCTTCCCCTGCCTTCTCAAGTCTTTAGCAGGTGCCTTCTACTCTAGGGAGGCTGAACCATGGGGCTATGTTTCACAAACCCACCTCTGTTGGGAGAGGCTTAGCTTGCCTGGGATGAGATGCTTGAGGCAGTTTCTACTATTCGGTGCTCTTGCTGGGTCCAGCCTGGGCTAAGGGCATGAGATTCAGCTGTCTAATCCCAGGGTTGACTTTCCAGCTGGTGGCAGCTCAGACCGCCACCACTGACCTCCTGGGAACCAGCTCCCTCAGTGTGGAGGTTGAGTCGGGCCCTAATCTTACCTGTGCCTTTATTGCTTTGAGCATCTCAGATGCTAACTTGGTTTTTTTTCCCAGGAGCCTTTGTATTGATTAAAATTTATTTTCCGCTGCAGAAGCAATTGGGCTATGCAAAGAGTATTTCTTCTGTGAGCTCCCTGCTCCTTAATAGTGATGTTCCTAAAACTAAGAACAACTGCCCTGAGAGGGAGTTTTGGGAAATGCGAAGAATGAAGGCCTCTCTTTCTGACCCCAGATCCTGACTTTTCCAAAGTGCCTTAAAAGAAAGGATACAAATCCTGGGTGATAACTTCTTTGTTACTTTACTCTTGAAACAAAATTCAGACTTTTTTTCTTCTTTTCCTGTTGTATTTTCCTTCAGGTTACATTGGAATAGTCAAGTATATGGTTCATTCTCAGAACCAAGGGAAATCCTGTGTCACTTGTTCCTTATTTGCTAACCTTCTGGTGCTCTCATGGGGTCCACCTAGGCCCAAGGTTAGGCTGGACCCTTGCCTGGTCTTGTTTGATGCTGTAGGTCTTGTTTCCTCCCTGGGGAGTTCAGGGCTGACGGTTCAGGGAGCACTTCCTTCAGCTGGAAGTTGTTACCGTGGAGTTGTCATGTGCTGTGCCTTTCTCTGTTTTGGTCCTTCCTGTTGCTGGTGACCCCGTAAAGAGGCCTTTGTAAAAGATCAGAGGGCAGAGGTGGCACAAGACGGTAAAGGAAATGCTGGTGCTGGCTCTCAGCATGGGCGGGGTCTCTGCTGACCCCAGGGCTGGCCATGGGGTACCCCACACAGCCAGGACAGCAGCTTTCCTGTCCTGGAGACCTGTTGTGCTGTGTATTTTGATTTCCCTTGTGTGCAGATGTATGTATTTACCATTGTAAGGGGGCGGGGGAATGTCTGACTTTGGTGTTCAAAACAGGACTGTATTTTTTGCCTTTAAAATCTAATAATATAACGTGAATAAATGACCCTATCTTTGTAACTGCAGATGGTTTCTCTTCTGATTTAAGGGGTTTGGGCTCTCCTAGAACTGGAAGGCAGTGATTGGGGCTGCCTGATGAGAAAATCTAAGGAAAGCAGAGGTCTGCTTCCTGTACCTCCCTGGCTCAGAAGTGTCATGGCTGGGGCATTGGGTGGCCGGAGGTGGTGGCTTATCCACACACCACCGAGGAATCACACAGCTGGAGTACACACACCTCACTGGAATCAGCTCATAAGAAAAATATTCTGAGATAGCCCAGGTTAAATTATAGCAGCCTGAGAGTGAAAGACACAGAACTTTTAGTCTGTTCATGGCTGTGGGCCAGCTAACAAAAGACTTCTCATATTCCTGTTTTACCCGTTGGAATTTCAGACTAATTTCCAGGTGGCTATTTTGCAGAATATTTTAGCCAAGCACCATCTAATTCCAGGAGCCTCTGCTAGTTTACACGTGAGTTTTCTGGACTGCCACCCACACTTCTTAGGAGCAGACATTTCTTTATTCGGACTCTTGCTATTCCAGAGCTAGTCCTACTTCACCTTCTCCCACCCCTTTGCTTATAGCTCATGTAAATTCTTTCAGACTACCTCTTTCTCCTCCCTTCCCCTTACATGATGTATAAAATGCTTACAAAACTCTGAAACAACAGACATGGCTGTCTAGCCATACTATTGGTAGTTTAGTCTTCATACCCCCAAACTGGTCTTTTGGCTAGCATTTTGGCTCAATAAAACCTTATTTAAAAAAAAAAAAAGATCATGGAAGTTAAAGATTTTTAAGTTTAACACAGCTATTTCTCCATTGGCGCCTCATTTTCTTCTATGTTTAATGGGAATAATAACACACAGAATTTTTGAAGCTTAAAGAGATGATATATCTAAAACAATGACTGACACGCTCACTACACAACTACACAGTGCTTACTTACTACATGGTAGCTGTTGCCACTTCAAATAGAATTTTCCCTAACAGTTCTCTGGCCACATTTCTGCTATTTCAACAAATGCCAGGAGAGTTCTGAGATTGTTCTCAGAGCCACTTTATGCAAGGCGTTTATAGTGTCACTTAATTGGTACTATACAAGGTAAGGTTTCTTGTCAGCCCTAGGAAATTTAATTGGATGTTCTAAAGGGTCTTAGCTGTGATCCAAGGATGTGAGATAGTAAGTACTCGTCCTTACTGCCCCTGAGGTCAGGCGTCAGCAGTCTCTTATATGCTGCTTAGATTGATTGGCATCTGAAAGAAGTGGGCCAGAGGAAACCAGGGTGTGGGAGAGGTCATCCCTGCTGTCCAGGCCGATGGAGCTGCAAAGGTGGGGCCAGTTGGGAAACAGGAGCAGGAAGGGCAGCCCCTTGGAGTTCCCCTCCTCCTTGTCTCTACCCATCCCTGTGGCTGCCGGAAGAATCCTTAGTGGCCCCAGGCCTGAGCAGAGGTAGTCTGGGGCTTAGATCTGACCTTCAAACAAGAGGTTCTGGTTCTTTGGACAAAGTGCTGCCTTACAGGCTTTGTAAGCTGCAAGGTCTGGATTAAGTGGGACAACTTTCCCGCCCCAAAGATGCACATAGCCACACAGATGCATATACACAAATACGAGTAACAAATCTTACATGTGCCTATGAGAGACCAGAATGCCTGGGTTCAAATCTCGCCACTGCCTCTTGCTAGTTCTATGACCTTGAGCAAATGACTTAACCTCTCTGTGCCTCAGTTTGTTCATTTGTATAATGGGGATAACAGATTTCGTAGGGTTGTTATGAAGATGAAGTGAGTTAATACTTATCAAGCACTTAAAACATGCCTAGTGCATAATAAGCATATGTGTTACAAATGTTTGTTAAATATTTTTAAATGCATGTGGGCAC